GTCCACATGGAGAGGAAACAGGAGGAACAGAAGCTGGTTTAGGACATTCTCAGGGGGAGATGATGCATGGTGTTTGGGACATGGTGAGTTTAAGACATTCATGGGACCTCCAAGAGGGGAGGAGGGGATGTCCAGGAGGCAAGTGGATTCAGGGGTCTAGAGCTTATGAGAAAATTGGGGGCTGAAGACGTGGGCTTGGGAGCCAAATACGATGTCAGTTAAAGCCACGAGAATGTGTGTAGAGTTTAAAGAAGGGAGGTTCTCAGATGGCGCTCTAGGGAGTGACCAAGGTCAGGCTCAAGACATATCATGAGGAGAGAGCTGTGTGGGCTTCATCTCTGTAGCCCCTGGGGCTTGGGCACAAAACCAGCCTCAGAGACATCTGTAGGGTGAAGAGAAGCCCTTTATGTAATACACGCATGGACATCTTTAGTTCCTGGGGAGACGGCAAACAGGGAATGGGAGGAGGACCAACAACCTCCCCGGCAGTCCGCCCCAACCCAACAGGTGTGGAAGAGAGACCCTGTGATGGGGGAAGGAAAAAGGCTCAGTCTTGCAGTCGGCCCCCTCCTCCCCCCACAGATGATCCAAAGCAGAGCATCAATAGGTAGCAACAACTCCCCAAAGGTGGGTGGAACCCAGGGAGCCATCCCTGGCTGGCATTTTCCTTGGATCCTAGTGAACTGGCTAAGAGCATAGAGTCTGGGGCTTCCCTGGTGGCGCAGTGGTTAAGAATCTGCCTGCCAATGCAGGGGACACGGGTTTGAGCCCTGGTCTGGGAAGATCCCACATGCCGCGGAGCAACTAAGCCCATGCACCACAACTACTGAACCTGCGTGTCGCAACTACTGAAGCCCGCATGCCTAGAGCCCATGCTCCGCAACAAGAGAAGCCACTGCACTGAGAAGCCCGCGCAGCAATGAAGACCCAAAGCAGCCAAAAATAAATAAATAAAGTAATAAAATAATTTTAAAAAAAAGAGCATAGAGTCTGGAGCTTCCTTTCTGCTTCCAAATCCTGGCCCTTGCATTTACTAGTGTGTAACTTTGGCCAAATTACTTAACATCCCTGTGCCTCAGTTTCCTCCTCTGTAAAATGAGGACAATAATAGTACTTTCTCATAGAATTGATATGAGAATGAAATGAGCAAATATTTATAAAGTACTAGTACTGGTACCTGGCACATAGTGAATGCTAGGTAACTATTAAATTAAAAAGAAATAATTTCATTCCTTCATGAATACTTATTGACTAGCTACTATGTGCCAGGCACTGTTGTAGGCACTGGGGACACGGCAGTGAATAATGCAGGTGAAAATCCCTGTCCTCATGGAGCTTACATTTTAGTAGTGGAGAGGAGGGGTGGAGGCAGACAATATATAAAATAAATTAGCAAAATATATGGTGTGTCAGATCCAAGTGGAGACAGGCGAGATGGGCAGGAGTTGGCAAGATAGCTAGCCTATGATCTGGTGCACAGTGGGGCTCAGGAGATGGATAGGGGAAAGAAGACGAGCAGCAGCGTGGAAACCCTGGCAGAGACACTGGGGCTGCTGACATCATCAGAGTGACAATCGTGATCATCACCCTCATATAATAGCAGCAAACACTTAGCTAGCACCTAATACCAGATACTGTTCTTTCTCTTTACACATATATCATTTCATTGAATCCTTACGGCAACCCTATGAGATTGGTACTGTTATGGTTCCCATTTTTCAAAGGAGGAAACTGAGTTAACATAGAGAGGTTAAGTAACTTGCCTTACAGAGTTATACAGCAAGTGAATGAGCTGGGATTCAAACCCAGGTCATCTGGTTCCACTGTTGGTAGATGGACCCGTAGATGGAGGGGACAGGACAAGCTGCCAAGCATCAAGATCAAGTAGGGTTTGGGACTTCCCTGGTGGTCCAGCAGTTAAGGATCCGCCTTCCGATGCGGGGGACGCAGGTTCAATCCCTGGTGGGGGAACTAAGATCCCACATGCTGTGGGGGAACTAAGATCCCACATGCTGCGGGGCAACTAAGCCTGTGTGCTGCAAGTAGAGAGAAGCCTGCACGCTGCAACTACTGACCCCATGCGCTCTAGAGCCCAAGCGCCACAACTAAAGAAGCCTGTGCACCACAACGAAGAGCCCGCACAGCCAAAATAAAATTTTAAAAAAATCAAGTAGGGTTTGACCTTCCCACAGACTGAAAGGAAAATACCCCCCAACACCCACACATTCGAGGCCCAATATAGTTAATGCACCCTTCAAGGCTGCTCAGAGGGCCTGAGAGGAGTCAAAAAGGACCATGAAACAGAGATATGGGCTCAGCTCTGGAAAGCTCCATCCCCAGAGCTATTCCCTCTAGATGGCCTCTGCTCCCCAGCTCCTCCACACACTACTCCATGGGGCTTTGAGCCCAGCCTCCTATGTATGCCCTTAAGTCACCATCCCATAGCCCTGTGATCCCATCCAGAGACCACAAATAAAATGATGACTATCATAATCCTGGGAAATTTAACAAAGGCACCAACAAACCCAGATCATAGCTGGAACCAAGAAGGCAAGTCATCAAAAGGCTGCGAAACAGAGAGAGACAGGTGGGATTGGTGGGCCCAGAGAGACCTGGAATCCACAGTAGTAAAAGCCCACAGAGGGGGGCTTTTGCAAGACCCTTTCATATCCTTCCTTACCTCACCTGATATTGCTCAATTCTTACCTTAGGCAAAACAGAAATGACCAGACCAAGTTGTCAAATGGAGAAATTAGGGCCCACGGAGGAGCAATGAATTATTTAAGACAGGACTAAAGGTCAGATGTCCAAAAGCCCTTCCACCGTACCACTCAGAGAGACAGAGAGAGACTAGGGACAGAGACAGAGGGAAAGAAAGGAGGGGGGCAGGGGGCAGAGGCCAATAGGAAAGACCCAAGAGCAGAGCAATTCTTCCTCCTGATTTCCAGGGAACTCCGTGGGCAGGGCTTGGCCTCCTGAACCCTTCATTTAAGCCTCTAACCCTTCATTCCCCCTGTGGGTTGATCAGAGCAGCACCATCTTCACTCCTTCATTCCCAAACCCAGACGAGCCGAATTCTAAAGGGAAGAGGAGAAGGATCAAAGCCCCTCACATAGAGTGATACAGCACTTGACAGTTTCACTATCATTGAGCTTTAGAGCAGGGAATACCCATAAAGACTATCTCCCCATCCCCCTATTGCCACCTATTGTAGAGATGGGAGATCAAGGCCCTGAGATAAGAAGTGACTTTCCAGAAGTCCACAGCAACTCAGTCACAGAAATCTAGGTTTCCTTGGGACTTCCCTGGCTTCCATTGCAGAGGGCATGGGTTCGATCCCTGGGAACTAAGATCCTGCATGCTGCACGGCATGGCCAAAAAAAAAAAAAAAAATTCTAGATTTCCTTAGTAGGGCATAATAGAGAGGGGCCCTTCCTCCCCTTGCTTGACCTTCATATAAGCTCCGTGGGAAGAACCCTGGGATCCAGGAGAACTAATATTCATCCTGGCTATGCTGAGACTCACTCAGTGGCCTTGGGGCCTCCTCCTATAGAATGTAGGTTCCAAAAGTGCAAGGCATTCTTGTCTGTTACGCCCTCATGTATCTCCAGCCCTAGAACAGTGTCTGGCCCATAGTAGATTCCCAATAACTATCCACTGAATGAATGAATGTCTACAGGGCTAGGGTTAGGGAAGTGTCACCGTGACAGCCTGAAGCCTAAAAGAGAAGACTAGGGAACCATAAGCTTCATCTTCAGTTATATGAAAGGCTAAGATTCTGTCCACAAATATCTACTGGGCTTCCCTGGTGGCGCAGTGGTTGAGAGTCCGCCTGCCGATGCAGGGGACACGGGTTCGTGCCCCGGTCCGGGAATATCCCACATGCCGCGGAGAGGCTTGGCCCATGCGCCATGGCCACTGGGCCTGCGCGTCTGGAGCCTGTGCTCCGCAACGGGAGAGGCCACAAAAGTGAGAGGCCCGTGTACCGCAAAAAAAAAAAAAAACAAAAACCCCAAAAACACAAATATCTACTGAGGGTCCACTATGTGCTGGGTATTGAACTAGGTGCTGGAATTCTGGTGAGAACCCTACAGTCAGGCCCTCACCTCAAGAGCTCACAGGCCACTATAAAGTGGAATTTTTTTTTTTGTGGGCTCCAGAGGGTAGACTCCGGTGCAAGGTGGGGGTCTGGGGTGGGGCGGTCTAAGTGATATGCTGCTCAATATAATAGACTCTTTTCTCAGCCTGAGCTGCCCTGAAATGGTGTCGCTGCTCAGAAGGTGGTGAGTGCAGCGGGACTGCAGCGTTCAAGCCGGGCGCCAGCCGCCCACCTGTCAGAAGCTGTGCCAGGAGTATGCGGGAGAAGAGATTTCTGCCTCGGGTGAGGTCACTTCCCACCCCCAGATGCTCTGCCTACAAAACCCTGCAACTCTCTGACGCTGGATCTTTTTCTTTTCTGAATTTCAAGGTCTCATCATGTTGACAGCTCCAAATTCTAAGTCGTCTGCCCAACACGCCCGGACCCAAAAGAAATAAAGCCGAATTCAGCCAGGGTCCTACCACCCACTGCCTCTGGGGATAGTCAGCGCCCCCTCCCCGCCGCGTGGGGGCTGAAGGGAGGTAACTCCGGCACCGGGGTGCCGAGGACGTCGTGGGGAGATAGGTGTTCCAGAGACGGGGTTGACAGAGCCGAGACATGTGACAGTCCAAGCGTCACGTTCTGTGGTCCGAGAGGCTGGGACCGCGCCGGTCACGTGACGCGAGGAGAGGTGCACCGTGGGGTGATGTGAGATGAGGGGCCTCTCAGATTACATACCAATGACGCATTCTCACCCCTTTTGGCAAGTAGATTTCCGTTTGAAGATGCAATAGTTCCGGCGAAGTGGGCGGGTTCTCACGTCCTGGCAATTTTGCTTCCGTTCGGAGACCTGCTGCTTCCGACCTCCGCCTTTCCCTCGGGTGGGGAAGGGACGAGCTCCCGTGCGCATGCTCCAGTCATCCCAGAGGGGGCGGGGCCGAGGCTACTGGAGCGGGAGGGGGGGAAGAAAAGGGAATTCCAACCTGTGGAAACTTGGGGGTCCCCGAGGTCGGCTCCTTCCCCTTGACTGTGGATGGTGCCAGGGAAAGAGCCTCTGGCGGCTCGTGGAGGGGGCAGTTTTGGGGTCCGCAGGGTGAGGGCGGAGGGGAGTGTCAGAGTGTGAGTGGGATACGGGAGTTCCAAACTTAGAATCTTGAGGCCCGCCGGGCTCCGGCGCCGGGGAGAGGGAGCTCGGGCCGCCATGCGGGACAGGACCCACGAGCTGAGGCAGGTGAGAAGTCGGCGCAGCAGGGTTGGGGACAGGCGGACGGGGTGGGGTCTGGCTGGAATGCAGGACTCCTGGTCTTCGGGGCAGGGAGGGGTGGCTGTGGGCTAGGAAGGAAAGACCCGGAAGTCTGTGAGTCCTGCTGGGCGAGAGCAATATTAAGGAAGTGATGCCAGTGACCCCGGCCCTGGCAGGGGGATGACAGCTCGGACGATGAAGACAAGGAGAGAGTCGCGCTGGTGGTACACCCGGGCACTGCACGGCTGGGGAGCCCGGACGATGAATTCTTCCAGAAGGTAAGAGGCTGGGGTCTCGGCCTGGATTCACGAGGGGGCTGGAGGACCCGAGGAGCATAGCGGCCTGGAGTACCCCCATATCTCCTATAGCCCTCTCGGTCATCCTCCCCAGGTTCGGACAATTCGGCAAACTATTGTCAAGCTGGAGAATAAAGTCCGAGAGTTGGAGAAGCAGCAGGTCACCATTCTGGCCACGCCCCTTCCCGAGGAGAGTGAGTCAAATCCTGAGTGTAGAACGCATGCTCAGCCCGAGGGATTGTGGGGATTGTAGTTCCACGCAGGTGGTGGGCAGGGAGATTTGTTGAGGTAGGGGCTGCTGTTTGGGCATCATGGCTTTCTCTTGTTCAGGCATGAAGCAGGACCTGCAGAACCTGCGCGACGAGATCAAACAGCTGGGGAGGGACATCCGCGCGCAGCTGAAGGGTGAGCTTCTAGGACCTCAGACAGATACTTTCCTCTGATCCTGCCCAGCTCCTGGTATATCTGGGGAGTGTGTGGCCCAGAGAGGCCAGTGACATATATCCAGGTCACACAGCAGGCCTACGTCTAGAATCTCCGTCTCCTGGCTTCCAGTCCAAAGTTCTTTCCACAGCATATGCCTGCCTCTTAGGTTCCCTTATTTATAATGAAACCATTTACATTTGACCCTTGACCGAGGCAGAGGTTAGCGTTGCCACCCCACCCCCCAAGTCATAATATGCATATAACTGTATGGTCCACCCTCCATATCCCAGGTCCTGCATGGGTGGATTCAACTAACCGTGGATCATGTAGTTCTGTAGCATGCATTTGTTTTCTAAATATCCAAGTATAAGTGGACCCATGCAGTTGTGCAAGGATCAGCTGTACTTCTACAATTCTTGCTGACCAGTGTGCATTCTTTGGGCAGGCAGATGGGGGTTTTGTTAGGAGGCCTCTGCATGCCTGTGGGAATTCTCCGATGTATTTATTGCAAAGAAAAATATACTTTTGCCTGTCAGAGACTCAGAATTAGTCATTTTATGATAAATTTTATTTCCAAAAAAACATCCTATGGTCATAAGCACCTCTCTATTGTATGGCTGGGTGGCTGGAGTCCTAGTCCCCAAACCGAATTTCAGAAGCCACAGGTCAAACTCCCCTGCTCTACCAATACTCTTGTGTCTTTCCACAGCCATAGAGCCCCAGAAGGAGGAAGCTGATGAGAACTATAACTCGGTCAACACAAGAATGAGAAAAACCCAGGTGTGTTCATTATTCCCAGAACTAGGAAATTTCAGCTAGTGTTTTATAGATCATTAGATGGCAGATGTGAGAAGGAAGGGCCCTTAGAGATCATCAAGTCCAACCAGATGATTTTCCAAATGGGGAAACTGAGGCTCAGAGAGGAATAGGATTCACCCAAGGTCAAGAACCCAGGTCTCATGACTTCCAGTCCATTATATCACTGCCCTCTTCTCCTCCATTCTGTGAGAAGTTGCTGAGTCCCTAGACATGATCTGGGCTCGGCTGTAGGAGATACTTTCTAGAAGCCAAGATGGGGGGTTAAGCTTGAATAGATGACAAAGACATTACTCAGGTAGGACTTGGTAGCTAATGGCTCTGCCCAGGGAAGAAGAGGGTGCAGTCAAATGGCTGGGAGGTTCCCTGCCTATGTGACAGGGACATCCTCTGCCCCAGGGACAGAATTCAAGAAGTCAGGAAGAGGAACTTCCCTGGGGTGGAAGGTCACTGAAGCACCAGCTTTGTAAGGAGATTTGAGGTGGTCTGAGCAGCCTCCTCTGGATGCGCAGTGAGGCATGGTTTGGAGTTCTTGGAGATCAGAGTTGAAGTAGGTGGGCCCAGAGCTCAGCAAAGACCCCAGATTGAAGATGGAACAGTTTGGGCATCTTGAAAGGGTACAGCTGAAGCCAAGAGAGCAGATGTGTCTTTGAGGAAGGAACTCCAAGGAATAAGCAGATTTTAGACATCAGCAAAACGAACAAGGAGAGAGAGCGTTTCGGGGGAGAGGGGGGGCTTGTGGTAGTCACTGGTGTGAGAGGCTGATGGCCCAGGTGGGCCTGTAAAAATCTGGGCAATCGCTATGACCCCCGGGCATCCCAGCACACCTCTAGTCTAAGCAGTGAGGCTGGTGTTCAACAAGCATTCCACAAATATTTGTTGAGGGTCTACTGTGTGCCAGACCCTTTTTCAGCTGTTTGGGATACAGCCGTGAACCAAAGATCCCTATCCTCACAGAGCTTACATTCCAGTGCGGAGAGACAATCACCATAATAAATCAGTAAATTATTTTAGAACATAGGAAGTATTAAGGGAAAAGAGCAGGAGGAGAGGGAATGAGAACATCGGGAGAAAGCAGGTTGCAATAAGGTGGAGAAAACTTCACTTAGAAGGTGACATTGTAACAAAGACTAAAGGCCTTTGTGGGGCCTGAGCATTCCAGGCCGAAGGCACGCAAGTGTAAAGGCCTGAGGTGGGACTGTGCTCTGCTCAGGGAGGAGTAAAGAGCCCATTGTGGTTGGAGGGAAGGGGTGAGGGAACAGTGTTGGGAGGTAAGGTCAGAGGGGCAACGGGGGAAGGGGCGGGTCATATAGGGCCTTGCAGGTCCTGGTAAGGGCTTCGGCTTTTACTTTGAGAGACTGGGGGAGCCTTTCAAGGTGGTCAAGGCAGCAGGCACCTATGAGCTCATGCTCTTTGCTGACTGTACCCACGGGGATGCTGAAGCCCAGACCGGGCAGGGATCCTCCCAGGAGTACCCAGCTTCTATTCTCCATCCTTAGCACGGGGTCCTGTCCCAGCAATTTGTGGAGCTCATCAACAAGTGCAACTCATTGCAGTCCGAATACCGGGAGAAGAACGTGGAGCGGATTCGGAGGCAGCTGAAGATCAGTGAGTTGCGGCGTCCGGCCCACAGGGTCAGGTGACCTGACCAGCTCTGAGCCTGGCCTTTTCCTTCACAGCAAATGCTGGAATGGTGTCTGACGAGGAGCTGGAGCAGATGCTGGACAGCGGGCAGAGCGAGGTGTTTGTGTCCAATGTGAGTGGCCGCAGCCAGCCTCCCTCTGCCGGGCCCCCCGTCCTCTCTGAGTCCTGGCCCTTTTTCATGGAGGGAATCCCGAGGCCCGGAAGGGCACGAATTAGCCTGCCTGGAACCACTCATCAGGGGCCTGGCCCCAGTTCTAGGCCTGAGGGCCGCTCCAAAGCCGAACAGGAAATTCTGAACCTGCTGCTGGTTTCCCTGTGACTTGTCCCTTCACTCCTGTCCACTCTCCAGATACTGAAGGACACACAGGTGACTCGACAGGCCCTAAATGAGATCTCGGCCCGGCACAGTGAGATCCAGCAGCTTGAGCGCAGTATCCGTGAACTTCATGAGATTTTCACTTTTCTGGCTACTGAAGTGGAGATGCAGGTGGGCACCCCAGACAGCTGGCCAGGCTTGATTCAGCCCCCAGACGTGAGACTGTGTTGTGCCTGTCAGCCCACCTCCACCCTTAGCCTCTCTCCCCGGGGCTTTTGTTCCCCTCCAGACTGGGCCAAGCCCCCAGGCTGGCCTTTATTTCCATCCTTAGCTGTGCCCCCAAATTGCGTCCTCCTGAACAGCTACTTGGATGGCCACTCCTCTATACATTGTACCCCATCCCTCAAACTTGAGCCCACCCCAGGTATGGCCCCAACCCTGGCTTCTCCTCCACCAACAGAATCTACCCTCATACTTCTGAGAGCTCCACAGCTGCCCCCTAGAAGGCCTGCCTCCTAAAATCTGTACAAGGATGGAGTGGGAGGTGGTATTCTTCCCCCGGCCCTTATCTCAGGATAAAGGGAGCTTCCAGCCCTGTCCTGGAGGAGCTGACCCAATGCTCTTTCGCAGCTGGGAGTCATGGGGAAGAGCTTTCACTCGGTAGGAGTACCAGGATAGGGAGAGCTTCACAGCAGCAGGGAGACAGGCCTAAAGAACACGACTTCAGACAGACTTGTGAGGGGACAAAAGTTCACCCTGTGTGAAAAGATAGGAGCCATGTAAGGCACTCAGCTCCCAGCCAGCACTGCGAGTAGAGGTTGTATGGGGAGAGGGAGCAGGACAGAAGGGATCACGTGGTGGAAGGGGGCCTCGAAGCCACCTGCAGGAGAGCGGTCTTTGGTCAGATGTGGGCCTGCCTCCGCATCTTTGTTAGTGCAGTGTTCTCTGCCAGGAATGTCCTTCAGTCATTTGTGGTTGGGCTGGGCGGACTGAGGAGCTGCTGGGCCCTCCACCCCCAGTCATTCCTACCTGCCTGAACCGCCCCCTCTTCCGAACAGGGGGAGACGATCAACAGAATTGAGAAGAACATTCTGAGCTCAGCAGACTATGTGGAACGTGGGCAGGAACATGTCAAGATGGCCCTGGAGAGCCAGAAGAAGGCGCGGAAGGTCAGCCTCCCCCCACCTCACCCCCCGGGTGGCCCTCCCTCCCCTCCTGAGTTTCCCTGACCCCACTCCTCTCCCACAGAAGAAAGTCTTTATTGCCATCTGTTTGTCCGTCACTGTCCTCATCCTGGTGGTCATCATTAGCGTCTCCACGTTGGTTTGATAGCGCTGCATATTCTCGGTGAGATACTGTGGGCCTGCCCCCTGGCCTGCCCCATCCCTGACCCCAGCCTTTCCTCCTCCCCTCAGACCCTCTTCTGCACTCCTTCCCTTGCAGGCACTAAGAGCACCAGGGACCCTGGGTCTACCTTCTCTCCCAGCAGCTGGGGGTGGGCAGGACAGAGCCTCCAGCCAGACCCCTTCCTCACACTGGCCTTGTGCAGAGGGGCAGACGGTCCTTCTGGGGTCGGCAGCCCCTCATCCATGGGGGCCTCCCTCCTCCAGCCACAGTGCCTGGGGGCGGGCCTGCACTGTCCTGTCTGGCTGGGACATGTGGTTTTGTAAGAAATTAAAAAAAAAAAAAAAAAAAAAAAAAGCTTGGAGATTCCCCTGTGCATGTGTGTTCCTGAAAAGGCTGGTCCAGGGCCTCCAGGTAACCAGCCTCCCACCTCCTGGCCACCCTTGGGGACAGGCCCAGCCCAGGCAGGCTCAGATCAGACTGTCGTAGGTGCTGTGAGCACACCAGGCTGGCAGTGCCCTTCTACTCTCCCATGAGAATGAGTGGGGCCGGGAGGGTGTAACACCCACATCTGGCTGTGACTACCTAACCCCAAAGGAGTGAAGCTGAGCCAGGCCAGGCTGGGACACAGGTGGGGTGTGTGTGTGTGTGTGTGTGTGTGTGTGTGTGTGTGTGTGTGTGATCTATGGGCATTCCTGAGGCCAAGAAGAAGAGGCACTATGAAAAAGTAATTGAGCCTGTTACTTTGGATATAGTGGACTCAGAAGGGCCTGTCTCAGAGGGGGCGAAGTTTGAGTGGCGTGGCAAGTGAGGAGGGGCCAGTTATGGGAAGAATCAGTGAAGAGGTTGCCAGGCAAAGGGTTCAACAGGCCAGGCCCTGTGCCCAGAAAAAGGCATTGCCTCTTATATGAGTTCAGGTTATGGAGCCAGGCACTGTATCAGCTCACCTTGTTTCTCAGGGGTCTTGTGGCTGAAGCGGGTAGAGGAGGCAGAGGAGCCTGACCCCAGGGTTTCCATGACTCACCTGAGCTCCAGGCTTCCACTCTAAATGTCTAAGAGTTCCAAGTCCCATGCCTAGTTTCTGCAGCTGGGTGTGGCGCCTGTCCCCAGACACCTAGTTTCAGGGCTCCTGGCTCCGAAGCCTGGTAAAAAGAGGGAGGTGCCTGACCCTGACCAAGGTCTGGGAGCCGGGTTCCAGCCGCCCTGTCCCATCGCACTTTCGATCCCACAGGTCACCGCTGCTGCTCCTGTAGCCCAGCCCGTCTGGTTGCAGTACCGCTCGCTTCGGCCACCAAGTATGGGGTGCACACGCGGGTGCCGGGGCGATGCGAGCGATGAAGGGCTAGCTGTGTGGTCGTTGGTGCAGACTCGGACCCGCCCCTGGACCCGGGATGGGGGAGGGGTCAGAGGGCGGGATTGGGCCCCAGTGACGTGGGACAGGACCGCTCAGCCTCCATCCGTGGCTGGGCGCCCGCCTGCAGCGCCTCCCTGTGGCCCTAGAATGGCGGTTGCTCGGTGCCTGCGCCAGATCCGAGGGTACACTTGGCCCCGAGTGTACGGGGTGTGGCTGAAGGGTAGCCCGGTCGCCACTTGGAAAACGACTGACTAGCGGACCTAAATGTTGTTCCTGAAGAGCATCAGGATTGGTCCGTAGGGCGTCCTGAAGGAGTGAGCACCGGGTATTAAACAGCAATTAGAGGACGCTGATGTGGGCGGGGCCTCAGAGCGACTCCTCAGTCGCACCCAAAAGCGATTGGATCACAGAGCTCAAGGGGCATGATCAAAACGCCAAAGGAGACGGAAGGCGGCTGGCCAGTGAGAGACTGGCAGGCGTGCGCCGGGAGTCAGAACCTCACGCGAGAAGGCGTGGCCGGGTTGCTCTCCCTAGCTGCTGGGACTTGCGGCTGGTCGAGTCTGGGAGGTTACCCACGCCTTCGTCCTGTCTGAGATCCTGTGTCCTGTGTACAGAAGAAACTCTAGACGCCTACAGGAAGGAACCCCTCATTTTCAGAAGCGTTCGAACACTATGGATGCCCACCCAATGGGGAAACTGCGGAACCGGATGGATCCTGCCCCAGGGGAAGACTGATTTGGACGCGGGGTCTCTGCGCTTCCCTGATTCTCCATTCTCCATCTCTTCCCCTTGCGGCCTGCTTCTTCAGCAAAATCCTGTCCTTTTGGTCGCCTTTGTCCAGTCCCCCATTTTTCTGCCTTCAGAATCAAACTGCACGACCCATGGTACCTACTGGAATCTGATAGAGATTGTCAAGCCGACGCGGAGACTGCCACATCTACGCAGCTGGGTGTCCACGTGCAGCGTGTGTCTTCCACTTGGCCGTGCTGGACAGCGCCACCCTGAAAGGCTGCTTAACCGTCTCACCCAGGACGCCATCCAGAACCTCCTGGAAGAGGTGGCTAGATGGCCAAGCGAGGGCTCACATGCCGGGCTCAACAATTTGAACTTTTTCTGTGGGCTGTGGGGACCTATAGAAGATTTTTGAACAGGTGAGTGGCAAGTTTGGAGCAGACTTAGAAGACAAGTGCACCGGAGGTTTCACAGGCTTCCCTGCATATACCCCTTCCCTGTGGGAAACCGACCTGAGTGAGGGGCTAAGGGCAGGTTTTGCACTGAAATCCTGGCTTGGCTGCTGTCAGCCCAGCTTTCAGGGAACATGGCCTGTGTTAGTTGTGGCTTTTCCAAATCATGTTGTATCACCTTTCACCTGCAAGCCCTCTCCACTTACTCCCTCACCCGCTGAATATTTCATGCTTCAGATTCTTAAGAAAAGGAACCTGACTGGTCTAGGTCAGGCTACATTGACCTACCTATGAATTGTCTACCTTGAGTCAAGATTTTACCCTTGATCAAGATGTATGAGAGGTGCTACGTGGTACAAAACGCTGCAGCAGCGTGCATATGAAGCAAGAATGGACGAGTTCAGTGATTGATGTCAGTTTGTGGTACAGCCCTGTGGTAGATTATTGTTCCAAATATATGCTGTCCTTCCTACTGGGCCCCTCTCTTTAGGAGGATTATACATTCATGCCCCACTTACAGTGGGCTTGGCTATGGCCAGTGGAATATGAGTAGAAATGCAAAGTACCACTTCCAAATAGAAGCTTTAAGCACCAATGAGTATTCTGAGAGCTTCCCTTCTCTTTTTCCTTGGCCATGAAACTGTCAGTTGCCAGATCAAGACTTCTTCAGCCTGGAACCCAGAATTAACAGGACATGAAGCTGAACTGTAGCCCACCTGTAAAATGATGTGTAATGTAAATGAGAAACTTCTCTTGCTGTCAGCCACTGATATTTTGAGGTTGGTTGTTACCACATCAACAGTCCTTTCAACTGTTACAGAATTATTACCCAGCAGTGGGGTGTTGCTACAATAAAAAATAAACCTGAATTGTGTGTCATTGGCTTTGGAGCTGCACAGTGGCTGGTGAGGAAACTACCATTGGAAGCTGGAAAGATGGTGATGTGTGTTATGCAGTGGTGAAGCACTTTTTTAAACTGTAAGCTGGGAATAGAACTAAGAGTATAAATAATGTCCAACTGAGTTTAGAGCTTTAGGCAAAAAATTGGGGAAAGAGAATATTAGTAGCATGCCTTGGTTGCTATTGCGTGCATTTGACAAGTTACTGTAAGAAAGAGATGACTCAGAATATAATTGGCCAGTTTTTAAGCAGAAATGGAAGAGAATATAGAAACTCCAGGCAAGTGATCCAGATTTTTAACCAGTGAAAGATACAACTTGACAAGGCCGTTAAGGCACAAAGTTTTATTAAAATTCATCTTTGTGGGACTTCACTGGTGGCGCAGTGGTTATGAATCCACCTGCCAATGCAGGGGATACAGGTTTGAGCCCTGATTGGGGCAGATCCCACATGCCGTGGAGCAGCTAAGCCTGTGCGCCACAACTACTGAGTCTGCACTCTAGAGCCCATGAGCCACAACTACCGAAGCCTGCGTGCCTAGAGCTTGTGCTCCACAACAAGAGAAGCCACTGCAATGAGAAGCCCGCACACTGCAAGGAAGAGTAGCCCCCGCTCGCCTCAACTGGAGAAAGCCCACGCGCAGTAATGAAGACCCAGTGCAGCCAAAAATAAAATAAATAAATAAATTTATTGTAAAAAAACAGACTCATCTTTGTGGCAAGGGTCATATCAAGTATATGGCTCTCATGCCTTATGTAAAAACCTCTGACTTGGTCGAAGTGGTTTCCAGTAAATCCTTTCAGTTATACAAGGTGATTCAGGGAAAAGAGATTAAGAGTGTAACTCTCCATTTGCCTACAACTAAGTCGAAAAAGAGGCATGTCTGGGGCTTCCCTGGTGGTGCAGTGGTTGAGGGTCCGCCTGCCAATGCAGGGGACATGGGGTCGTGCCCCAGTCCGGGAAGATCCCACATGCCGCACAGCGGCTAGGCCGGTGAGCCATGGCCACTGAGCCTGCGCGTCTGGAGCCTGTGCTCCGCAACGGGAGAGGCCACAAGAGTGAGAGGCCCGCGTACCGCAAAAAAAAAAAAAAGAAAGAAAGCTGCCTTATTAAAGAAAGGCATAACCTCCAAGTGTTCTCAAATGTGGCCAAGGAGAATAAATGGAAAAGGATGGGCCATTGTAAGCGCAGAGCCAGGACTTCCCTGGTGGTCCAGCGGTTAAGACTCTGCACTCCCAATGCAGGGGCCTGGGTTCGATCCCTGGTCAGGGAACTAGATCCCACATGCTGCAACTAAAGATCCCGCATGCCACAACTGGAGATCCCGCACGGGGCAACTAAGACCCAACTAAGACAGCCAAATAAACAAACAAAGGCAGAGCTAAGGACATGGAGAAGAATGAACTAGGGAACTAGTCCCAGGAAGCAGTCCCACTCCCAGGGGAAGGAGGGGGTCCTTTTCAACATCTGCCCAGCGGGATTTTTAGAATTATCATAGACCAGTAACTTCTGTCTCCCATTTTTCCTTCTGAATGAGGGTGTTTACTGCTATTATCCTGTCCCTGTTCCACTTCATATGTTGGATGTGGTGGAGGGGACAGAGATAACTTGTGATTGATTGATTGATCTGTTTATCTAGTTATTTATCTATCTAGTTATCTGTTTATCTGTTTATTTACTTTGGGTCATAGGTCTCTGGATCAAGAGATGCCACATCTGGACCTGATATAGAGACTATCAGAGGTCCTGGATTTGAGCCTGATGCCATGATTAGATAGGTCATTTGGGTGGTCTGCCTCGAGACAGGGATGCATTTATTTTGCATGTGGAGGAAACACAAAAGACAGTATTTGTGACAAAGAGGGCAGACGGGGGAAGATTTTACAATTGTTCAAAAACTCATTGGCCTTCCCTGTGGGGCCCCTCCATACGAAAAGATTATATATCCCCACTCCACTGACATCAGCTGTGGTTTGCTTTAGGCAATGTAACTTGAGTTTCTTATTACTCCTGGCACAAATTACCGTAAATTTAGTGGCTTAAAACAGCATACATGTATTCTTTTATAGCTCTGGAGGTCAGAAATCCAAAATTAGTTTCACTGGGCTAAAGTCAAGGAGTTGGCTGGGCTGGCTCCTTCTGGAGGAACCATTTGCTTACCTTTTTCAGTTTCTAACTGATGCCTGCATTCCTTAGCTAGTGGCCCTATCCTCCATTGCAAAGCACATCATTCCAACCTTGGCTTCTATCATATCACCTTCTCCTCCCACTCTGACCTTCCTGTCTCCCTCTTATAAGGACCCTTGTGATTACCTTAGGCCTATCCAGATACTCCAGTATAATCTACCATTTCACCATCCTTAACTTAATCACATTGGCAAAATCCCTTTTACCATGTCAAGTAACATTCTCAGGTTCCAGGGATTAGGATGTGGACATATTTGGGGCACCATTGTTCAGCATACCACACCACCCCAATCCACATTTAACTGATTCTTTCATTTATTCCCAAAATACTTATTGAGCAAGACTTACACACCAGGCATTATGGCGGGTGCTGGAGAAATAGAGGTGAAAATTCAGACAAGGTCTCTGCTTTCATGGAGTTTATATTTTAGTGGAGATGACAAGTAAAGAAATAGCTAAGACATCCCAAAACCAGGATATGTATTATTAAAAAATTAAGCAGTGTGTTGTGACAAAAAATTACAAGGGGTTGGAGACGGCTGTTCTAAAAGATAGTCAGGAATGGTTTCTTAGGGGAGGTGATTAATCCAAAGGGCAGAACTGAGAGCTCAGAAGGCAGAGCAGAGCCGTGGAGGGTTACTTGTAGGCCTGGACACCTAAAGAAATTTGCCCGGCCGACTTTTGAAATTGCTTTGGATCAGTGACTCCTTTTTACCTTCCATTTCTTCCCTTTTTGAACCAGAATGTCTATAACTATTACCCTATGCATGTCTCAGCATTGCATGTTGGAGTACATGACTTGTTTCTTTAGTTTCATAGGTCCACAGATGGGAGGAATTGTGCTCCAGGATGGATTATATGCAGATGGGTCTGCATATAATTTAGATAATGAGACTTGGGACTTTTGGTTTGATGAGATTTATATGAGACTTTTTTTTTTTTTTTTAACTCTGACTTGATGCTGTAATGGGATGAGACTTTTAGGGACCTCAGAGGAAGTGAGTGTATTTTGTGTGTGGGACAGACATGAATCTTTGAGGGCTAGAAGGTGAACTGTGGTAAGGAGAATAATGGCCCCCAAAGATTCCATGCCCTAATCTCTATGAATATGTTACCTAACATGAGAAAAAGGGCTTTGCAGATGTAATTAAGTTTACTGATCAGTTGACCTTAAGATAGGGAGATTGTCCTGAATTATTCATCTGGACCAAATGTAATCATATGAGCTCTTAAAAGCTGAAAAGCTTCTCCAGCTAGCTACAGAAGAGGAAGACAGAAGTCAGAGAAATTTGAAGCAGGAGGAGTCAATGTGCCATTGCTGATCTTGAAGAGGGAGGGGCTCCTAGCCAGGGAATGTAGATGGCCTCTAGAAACTGAGAACAACCACTGGCTGACAGCCAACAAAGAAACAGGGACCTCATTCCTACAGCCAAATGGAACTGAATTCTGTTAATAACCCAGGTGAGTCTGGCAGTGGATTCTATGCCAGGGCCTCCAGATAAAAGCTCACACTGGCCAAGACCTTGACTTCATCCTCATGAGACACTAAGTAGAGGACCCAGCTGAGTCAGCCTGGACTTCTGATCTATAGAACCATAAGATAAGAAACGGACGTTGTTTTTAAGATGTTAAGTTTGTGGTCATTTATTATGCAGCAGTAGAAGCAGTAAGATTTGAGCTGAGACTTGAACAGAAAGAGCATCATGGGCAAATCTAGGATTGTGGGTTCCATCCCCAGGAAGCAGCAAGTACAAAGGTCCCAAGACTGGGAAGAAAATAAACAGAAGGCCAGCATGGCTGGAGCCTGCTGAGTGTAAAAAGTAGGTAAGAGATGAGGTCAGAGCTGGGATAGGACTTGAATGGAAAGCAGGCTCCAGGGAGAGGGCTTTTAGTTGAGAATGGGCTGTGCATAAGTAATTGAGAACAAGTCTCCAAATCTCCTTGGTTGAATCTAGAATGACCGCCCCATCTACAAAGCCTGCTGCCTTCCCTTACCTCTGCCTCAGCCATGGTTCTGGAGTTTTCTCCTGCAAGGAGTCCCAGTTTATGCAGACATTCAGCTGGGGAGGGGATCATGACTGAAGTCCAAAGTACAGACTAAGGAGTGATGCCAGCTATTGCCCCAGCAGCGGGGCCTATGATTTTGCATTCCCAAGATGCTTTCACTACCTGGGACAGTCCTGGCAGAGAGTCAGGGAATTAAAGGAAGTTGGGGCAGAAGAAAACTGAGGGCCAAAAGTCAGACTGTCTGGGAATTATCCAGATAACAAAATGGGACAAAGACATCACAAGAAAAGAAAACTTCAGATCACTATTTCTTATGAATATAGATGTAAAAATCCTCAACAAAATACTAGCAAACAAAATTCAGCAATATATAAAAATGATTATATAAGTGGGATTTATCTCAAGAATGCAAGGTTGGTTTAACATCTGAAAATCAATTAATGTAATAAAGAATATTAGTAGAATAAAGAACAAAAACCCTCTGATCATCTCAATAGACCCAGAAAATACATTTGACAAAATCCAACAACTTCGATTTTCTTTTTTTAAAAAATTAATTTATTTTATTTTTGGCTGCATTGGGTCTTCATTGCTGTGTGAACGCTTTTCTCTGGTTGCGGTGA